CACACACACACACACACACACACACACACACACACACACACACACACACACACTCCCACCCCCGGGTGACCTCGTTTTGCTCTGGCTATCAGAGGAGATTTAAAACAGAGACTGACACTGTTTCCTCTGCTTTTTGTCAAGGAGAGTTGGCTACTCCTTCCTTGTCGCCCCCCCACCCACACACACACACACACACACACACTGCTTCTGTTTTGTGATGGGATTAGTCTCTTCATAGCCACTGAGGCCGTTTGCATCTTTTCTTTTCTTTTAACTTTTTCGTTTGGATTCAGTTACTGACAAACTACTTACACAGTTAACGAAATCAGGCATTTCAGTCAAGTTTCTTCTTGGAAGAGGAGCAGAGTCCACTCAGGGCTCCAACAGCAGCAGATTTCATATGCTGATAATTTTTTCATGGTTTGGCAGAACCTTTCATTTTAATGCTTGAAAAGTACATTATAAAGTAACTGGTGATTACTCTTCTGTTGATTAATGAGTTGGTTGAGTAATCCCCTGAAAGGCCTCTTAAGTTATTTTACTGCAGTAAATGAAACACTTTTGACTGACTTCCCCTCTCTTCTGTAGATAACTGCAGCTCTCCTGTAACTGTGGGTTCTGATGAAGCTCTGGACTCAGCCGTAGAGTCAGCGCCGACAGCTGTTGCAGCATCAGTCTTCTCCTCTGGGCGCAGGGTCACACGCAGCCAGCAGGGGGCGGCAAACACCACAGCCAAAAAATACCCACTACGGCAGAGCAGGTCGTCCGGCTCTGACACAGAGGCTCACGGTAAGATTGGTACAGTACTAGAATTCAGAACTGTCAAATGCTCTAAACATGCTCTAAACATTTTTTCTTATTAAAAGTTCAGCTTGGTCATTGCCAAGCTCAACTTTAGTTAGAGGATGAATTTGCAGTGAGGAAAAAACAGGAAGGAGGGGTTCAGGGAGAGAAAGAAACAGGACAGGTGCAGCGGAGTCCATTTGACATCGTGATGCCATTCAGCTGATGTCACGAGGCTTGTCTGTGATCACGGTGTGTTCCTGCTTATAATACAACTAATATCTATCAGTAGATATCCTGGGCTTGTGTTGTGTCACTGAGATGAATGAATTACTTCATAGACACCAGGAACTGTTATCTAACTTCAGCGGATGCAGGATATGATCATCTGCAGGTTCAGGTTACTTTATTGTACCTGTAGAAAGGTTTGGTTTGCAGAAGGTTATTAGGCTGTTCATTTTAGCTTCATATATCAATTGTTATATACTGCACATTCAAACGTGCAAATCAGTGGTGGTGGAGCAGAAAATGTTCTTAAATGGATGATTTAGTGACCCAGGTCTTAAAAATGAAAAAATATAGATATATTTAACTCGTTTTTTTTCT